CATCATCATCATCACCATCATTAGCACTTACTGTAAGCACTCTGAGACCGTGGGGTCCCATTTCATGCTTGGGACACCTCTCGACTGTCTAAATTTTACCCCATTGTACGACTGAGGAAACCAAGGCTCAGACCCACTCATCCACCTACCCAGGAGGCTGGAATTCTTACTCAGCTGCCTGGCCCTGGAGCCCACACACTCCACCACAGCACTTAAGTACCTCGAGATAATTGGTATGAATGGACACATGCTCTGCTCTGCTCGACACTGTTTGCATTTCAGCAGGTGCTTTCTGGAGACAGTGCTGTAGCTCAGGAGAAGGAATCCCCAGCTGGGGTTTCACATCTGGTGGGGAGAAGCCTCTAGGCACCGAGGGTCTGTGGTGCCCTGGAAATCACAGTCACCAATTCAGACCACGTGGGCGGGCGGTTCTCAAACTAGCTGGCAGGTTGGACACAACTGAGGAACTTGAAAAAACACTGCCTGGTTCCTGTACTCTGAGACGGAGGCACTGGGTCTGCGAGGCTGCCAGGCTTGGGACGCTGGAACAGCGCTCTGGGGCATTCTGACAGCTGCCAGGGCTGAGCGCTGTGGCCACAGGCGGCCCCGCGGTGCAGCTGTGGGTCTGAGAACTGCCTCTGGGCCGGCCCCTGCAGAGACTCAGGAAGTGTGGGGGGTGGGGGGGGGCAGGAGAAGACTGCACCAGTGCACTTGTACTGCTTGCTCTGATGTGATGAATTAAGTGTTGTGAAAACAGGACAGTAACCGATGACGCAGTGCCATAATCGAGTTCTGTGAGCAAGCGTGGTCTGCCACGCCCAGGGAAGCCGTTGGGTGTCAGGGATTCCACACAGGCGAGAAAGTGGAGAGGCAGCAAAGAACCTGGGATGGCGAGCATCTCTGTCTGGCTCATAGGAGTGATGGCTTTGTGTCCAAAGCATAAATTCTGTCTTACTGCTTTCCCAGAGGCTAGCAGGGAGAACCCACACCTGGAGGCAGTGTCCAGGATGCCGTGTGCTTCATCTGGAGCCAAAGCAGTTATAAAATGAAGTTCCCATCACATAAAATCAACTATGTAAAGCGAACCACAGTTCATTGGCACTTAAAACAGTGTTGTGCCTCTACCACCTGTGTGTATTTAAAAACATTTTCGTTTCCCCAAAGGAACCCCTTCCCTTCCAAATCCTTTCCATTTCCACCACGGCGATCACGTCTGCTTGCCCCCTGCAGTCTCTGCTGGTTCCCGTGGAGCCGTCTCTCCCTTCTCTTAATCTGTCCTCTTGGCTGTTTACTCTGCATGGATCACGTTCCGCCTCATCCTGGGCTGTAGAGGCCACGTGCTTCCTCAGAGGTGGGGTGGGTCTGTGGAGGAAAGGGGATGGTGGGGGTTGTTTGCAAAGGCAGCGTGTGAAGCAAAATTTGATTATGGTTGAAATTGTCCTTGGAAGTCCTATAAATCGCTCAAGCGTGGTATGCGTGATGTTGGATAAACAGCTCTGCTCCGTGACTCACAGGCACATCCAGCTGAGAACCTGTGAAGTGGGATGAAGGCAGGGTATCAGGGAGCTGAGGGGACCTGCCTGCAGGTGGCACCCATCGGCACTGTCACAGCACAGGGTCTCCTTTATTCCGGAGCAACAGCCAACTGCTGTAATCTCAGCACAAGGCCACGTGTGTCTTCTCCGTGGTGACGAAGGAGATGTGGCAGCATCTGGCGTGGAGGGGGCATGTGCCAGGCGCTCAGGTGTTCGCTGGGTTGGAGTCTAAAGCTCACCTGATCAGAGCTGTAGGGTGCACCATCCTTTAAAAAGTGACAGGAGAGTTTGGCCACCTGCTCCCGCTCTTTCCAAGCTGGCATTAACTGTTGTTGCCCCCCCCCCGCCTTCTCTCATCTCATCCTCCCCCACTAACATTTATTATCCTCTCTAGGAAGCAGTCACATCACTCCTTAGAGTATGTTTTCATGTGAATTATCTACCCAGTGAGAGTACAGGACCCTGAAGGTCAGGGATAGGTCTTCACGTTTGTATTTGATTACATGGTGCTTATCCCAGTTTGTTTTACGTGTACACCAGGTGCCCTGCCAATGCACCTTCTCCTTACTGCTTCCTGTGTCTGCAAACATTTATAGTGCATCTTCCACATGCCAGGGATGTAAAGGGGGCCCAATGGCATCCCTGAGAGAGAGATCTTCAAGTAGGGAGATGAAACGTGATATGAGAGAGATGACTGTAAAACGATAAAGTTAATCACAGAAGAACTGACCGAAGCAGCTCGGGTTGGGAAGGGCTCACTCCGGGGCACAGGGAAGGGAGGGTTCAGTGAGGGTACGGCGTTGGAACTTGGACTCTGCCCACACGGACAGGTGAGGGACGAGCATCCTGGGTGGGGGAGCAGCACGTACAAAGGTAGTGGGCGGCTAACCTTTTCCATGAAAGGCCAGGTAGTGAATCTGCTAGGATGTTGGGCCATCGCACTGATGTCGTGGCTACACAGCTAGGGCACTGAAGTGTGGGGGCCACCACAGAGTGGACAGGAGTGGGATGAGGGTTGTGTTCCAATAAAAGTGTTTGTGGACTCCAGAACTTGGCTTTCATGTCATACACTCTTCATGTGTTATGTGAATATCGTTCTTCTGAACGTTTTTAGCCACTTAAACATTTAAAGACCATTCTTAACCCCATGGGCTCTGCAGACTCCAGTGGCACACTGCGTTTGGCCCAGGGCTGCGGTTGGCTGACCTGTGTACGAAGGCTGGGAAGTGCAGGGTCGTGTGGCGGGAGCAGGACAGTTCGTAGGTGCGGTCCTTCCGACCCAGTGGCTGTGGGTGGAGACTGCAGTGCTGCACTTCCAGCAGGCCCCTGGACATGGTGAGGCTGAGGTCCTTACCTGGGGTAGCGAAGAGCTGAAGAATCCTTGGGGACCCCTCATGCCCCCTGTGCTGAGTTCTGTGGGTATGGGAAATGTAGAAGACAAAAGAGCTTCATGGAACCAGGGGGATACCTGGACCCTCCCAGAGGAAGAGCCAGGCAGTGAGACTCCCCAGTGCTGGGTGCAATCAACTGCTTAGTGAGTGGCACACAGGGGTGCAGGGTAAAGGCCAGAGGAGTCCCTGAGAGAGTAGGGACTGGGCTCTTTGGGTGTTGTACAGCTTGGTCCCCACATCCTCACCCCCCACTCAGCTTCCATCGGGATTCCCCCATTCTTTCTCAGTTGTCACTCTGTTACCGTGAGCCGCTCCTGAAACCCTGTACACTGAGTGGAGACTTGGACGTGAGTGAAGTTTCTCGGGTGTGCTGTACTGCCTCAGCTGGGGGGGAAGTCGCAGGAGCAAGGCCAAGGGTCATCCCTCACCTGAAGCTAGGGGACAGAGCCTTCTTACAAGGCATCGCAGCTGGACGGACAGTGGGCTGTAAAGACAGTGGAGGGAGAAAGTTAGAACACCCGAGGGGAGGAGAAATGTTGATGCTTAAGGCTGGCAAACACTCCGAGTCTTCTGTGGAGACACCTCGGAACATTCTTAACGTCTTACTCCCGAGCCCTCAGACACTGTGAAGCCCCCTGGTATCTCCCTGTGAAGACAGAGTGACGTCTGGCAGGCAGGCAGGCAGGCGGAGAGAAGGGAGTGTGGCAGAGACTCTGTATGGTGCCCAGACCAGCGACTGGGCTGCATCCTGAGCAGAGGCGGGCGGTGGGGAGGCAGGCTGGTGGCCGTCCGCTCTCCCGTGGGTCAGTGTCCTGCCTTCTGCCGCAAGGCTCTCGCTGCCCAGAACTGCATCAGAGGCGACCGTCGCAGAGCCCACGGGCTAGCTTTTTGAAAAGGCCAGTGACCACCTGGAGGAAAACACTGGGAAAAGGCAAGATAAAGCCTGCAGGCTCCTTGTGTCCGAGCTGCTGACGGGCCACGGGGGCTGTGCCTGGAGCTGTGGCCCTGTGAGGGGGTGGATCACACGGACCCCGCACTCCTGGCTGGCGTTGGGTCAGAAGAGACCCTGGGTCCAGGTTTGCTAGGGAACCACATGTTGTGGTGCATGGGCACGCAGACGGCTTCTACAGCAACCCGGCCCTGTGGACATTGCGTGGTGGCGCAGCAGAAATTCAGTCATCCGTCTGCCAGACGGGGGCAGTGCGGTGCCAGCCGCGGCAGCTGGCGGACCCAGCTGCCGACCGGCGGTGTAGCACCGAGGACCTGTGGCTCTTCCTGGCTGCACCCGACGCCCACCTGGGGCTCTTCTGTGTCACCTCAGGGTCTGACTGAGTCCATCCGAGGTGGAACCCACACTTGCACTGTCAAAGCCCCCAGGCGATCCTAATGTGCACTCAGGGCTGAGGATCCCCGAGTTAAATAGAGGGGTGTCAGTACTTATCCAGGGCTGGGTTCTCCCTGCCAGGCTTGGCCGGGGAGACGAAATGACCCCTTGAATCCAGAGAGCTGCCGGGGGAGGATGAATGGGATTTGTGGGCAGGTTTGTGACTTAAAGAATGCAGGAGTAAAGTGAGGCTGCTGACAGTTTCGGAATAGGTAGATTCACATTCCGTTTGCCGACCAAGGTCTGTCACTTCTGCAGGAACGTGGGTGTGTCCCTGAATGCAGAAACCAGAGCCGAGGTCCCCAGCTCGGAAGATTGTCTGTGCCGTCCCATTGGGTCTTGCATGTGTGCTTTGTTGTCCGCAGCCCACTGACCCCCCTGGCCCCCCCCCCCCCCGCCCCACGCACATCGCTGTTTGTGTCACTCCTGGCGGTGGTGGCGCAGAACACCGGGCACAGCCAGTGCAGGCTTGGCGGTCTCCCTGGCAGACGTCTGATTTCATTGACCTGTGATGTTCTTTTAGGATCCAGAGGGTGCCTGCTGTTACCTGTGAGTTACTGACCTGTCATCATGGTATCGGGTCATCTTGTGTCTTGAAACGAAATGGCCTGCACAGGCAGCGAGTGACACGGAATCGGAAACCTGGAAGCTTCCCTGTGTGTCTAAGTGTCTTCTGTTCTGACCTTTCAGGGCACGAGGGTCTGGATCCCTGACCCTGATGAGGTGTGGCGCTCGGCCGAACTAACCAAGGACTACAAGGAGGGCGACAGGAGCCTCCAGCTCCGCCTGGAAGATGACACTGTAAGTGTGGGTTGTGGGCATTGCCGGGGTCCGCCGGACAGGGCTGGGTGGTATGGGGTGGGCTTGAATTTGTCCTGCAGGCGGGAGCTTCTGCACGCCTGCCATCGTTTCTGTGGCTGTCGATAGCACACCCGACAGTGCCAGGCTGTGAGCTGCTCCCTGGACGTCGCTGGAGTGCCCACTGGGGTTAGCCGCCGGCCGAGGCCCTGAGCAGATGCTCAGGGGAGTGGAGGCGTCTGTGGGAGGTGACGGTGTAGCTGCTGTGGGGGACAGGGCCTGGGACCTGGCCCGGCTCGGGATGGGGTCCTGGCTCGACCGGTGTTAGCTCTGTGCCCTTGTGCAATTCAGCAGTCTTTCTGTGCCTGTCACTTCACCTGTGATGGGGCACTTCTGGGAACAGGAAGAGTTGCTGCAGTTAGAGCAGAGCCTGGCACAGGGGCACTCAGCGTGTGCTGGCTGCTACGGTGGGAGTTCTTCGTTAGTTGACATTCAGGTGGTTTTGCTGGAAAGGAAGACAAGGTCGTAACCGAAATCCTGTTCTTCCCAGATCTGGTTCAGTTTCTCTTTTCCTGAACCTTTGTGACCGAGCTTCTCTGTGACTCGTGCATCTCACAGATATGTGAGTGCTTGCTCCATGCTCGGTTCGGGGGGGGAGGGGGTGAACGAAAGGGTGTGGCCCTGTCATCGGGGGAGCAGCTCAGTGCTGGGGCAGCAGTGGGCACGAACACAGCAGCAGGGAGGCACAGCGGTGGCCGTCACAGAAGCAGGTGGCTGAGGGGTGGGAGGGAACCTGCGGAGATGAGGGTGCTGGAGGGCGGTAGAGAGCAACCAGCTGTTGAAGATTCACGGGGCGGTGGGCCTGGGGTAGAGAGTACCCGGGCGGATGCACCTGCACGTGTGCCTTCAGTGTGTAGAGGGAAGGAAAGGAGGCCTGCGCACCTGGTGCGAACGGTCGGAGAAGGGGACGGGATGTGTGGGGGGGGGGGCGGAATGCAGGCAGAGGCCACTCATGCAAGGTTTGCAGTGGGGAGACCAGGGGGAAGCAGGTCTGGAGTGAAGTGGCAGGAAGCAAACAAGAGTTGGCTTGGGGACAGGTTGCGTCTGAGGGGCTGAAGAGCAGGCGTGTCTCAGAGGGATGGCCGGAGTGACCGTCTCCTCCCTCTGAACTGCAGGAGCACAAGGAGCTTGTGCTGCGTTTTGAGCCTTTGACCACTTGCTGCTGCCTTACCATTCTCCCTTCTCTCAAGCATTTCGGTCTCGTGGTTCTGGGTAGTCAGTGACTGGCTTGAGAAATGGACCGCGTTTTCTGCTTTGCTGACAGAGTATCTACTGCGGTGGATGATTAACTCACAGATTAGTAGGAAGGGTGACCATCCTTCCCGCCCTGCTCATTTCTGCTTTCTGTCCACTGGAGCACATCACCTGGTGAGACCGGAGCGCGGAATCTGTTAGAGGTTCGCTCCAGGGTGTGTGCCCTCACCTTCCCCTACCTGGCCGAGGCCGGCTTTGCTAGCTTCCTCTTGGTTTTGAAGTGAGAGATGAAATTCCCAACAGATGGGCTCGTGTTTACCACGTTGAATAATTCCCACCCCACGCCTGAAACAAAATAAAATTAGTTCACCCACTCGAATGGCATATCTTCTCCAACAGATTTCACTGCAGTTGATCTCACAAGTGGGTGGGTGTTTTTAGAGAGCTGTGCGGGGGTTGTGAGGAGTGATCGCTGTTGCCAAAACAGCGTGGATGCGTGCCCCACCCCCACCCCCCACCTGAAAGTGAGTCCAGTGCTGCATGATGAACCCGGCAGCCGCCCAGGGCCCATGTCTCCTCTCTCTCCCACCCTCTCCCTCCCGCTCCCGCCTGCCACATGGACAGTCAACATGGAATCAGAAGGGATGTCGGGGCTGTGCATGAGCAGCTCTGGAGAAATCATGTTCTCTGCACACCCGACTCCGTCCAGGCGGCTCCCGGGCTGTGGTTTGTCCGCTGCCGGCTCTGAGCTGTCCCTGGAGCGGCCCGGTAGAGCTGCGGACCAGAGGCAGGACGGACTGAAGGACTGAACGTTCGAAGCCTCTCAAGGTGAAATCATCCTTGATGGGCCAGGCTGGCCGGAGAATCTAGCCTGGGTCCCTTTCCCCATCCCCCTGCTCCCCCCGCTGTGAAACCGGATCGCGTGGGTTAACTGCAGCAGCAAAGGGTGAAGATAAATTCTTCGAGAGCAACAACACTGCCCCCGATCCCTGGCTTCTGCCTCACCGCTAACCTGCGCACCCTGCTCACGGGGCTCCGGCTCTTGGGTTCCACCGCGAAGTTTCTCTTGCCCTGCTGCTTGCTTGCTTATTTGTTGTGGTAAAACATACATAACATAAAATCAGCCGTGTTAACCATTTTTAAGTGCATGGTTCATTGTCATACAGTACAGTAGCCCCCCAAACCATGGTTTCCTATTCCCCAGTTTCAGTTACCTGTGGTCAACCATGATCCAAAAATACTAAGTGGAAAGTTCCAGAAATAAGCAGTTCCTAATTTTAAATTGCATGCCATCCTGAGTGGTGTGATGCGATCTTGCGCCATCCCATTCTGTCCCACCGGGAATGTGAATCACGCCTTTGTCCACAGCATCCACTCCGTGTGCCCTGCCTGCCTCTCAGTCACTCAGCAATCCTCTCTGTGGTCAGACTGCTTGTCAGAGAGGGTGGGGGGGGCTACATTTACATAACTTCTATTACACTGTGTTGTTATAATTGTTCTACTTTATTTAGTTATTATTATTTTAATCTCTTACGGTGCCTGATTTAGAAATTCAGCTTTATGGTACATGTGTGTAGGAAGCACGTAGCATCTGCAGGGTTCAGTACCGTGCTGGGTTTCAGGCACCCACTGGCGGTCTTGGAGGGCACCTTCTGCGTATGCGGGGGATACTGCTGCACTCTGCACCGAGCGAATAACAGCTCCCCATCCTGTCTCTCCTTTCCCTGGTCATCTCCATCCTACTTTCTGTCTCGGAGTTGGGTACTTCTGGGTACCACGTAGACATTGAATCATACAGTATTTGCCTTTTTGTGTCTGGCTTGTTTTACTTAGCACAATGTAACGTGTTTTATATTGAAGCCAGTCAGAAGGTGGGAAACTCCTTGGGGGAGAAAGAGAGCGTCTTCTCTTTTTCTCTGCACAGCTGCGATGGGTGCAGGGTAGCTAGGGGTGCCAGCCCCTCCTAGCACAGGACTCCGTTTTCAACTGGATCAAACCTCTCGGTGGGTGCGCACCATGGTGATGCATGTAGCTTCCTCGTTCTTTGTCGGGAGTGGGACTCTGCCTGGCAGGCCTTGGCTCTCCTGCTCCCACGCCCCCTACAAACTGCTGGACTCCTGCCCTCTAGTGGCAGGGAAAACTCCCCACACCCCCGTTTCCATGGTTTTGCGTTTCAGTTCTGTGTCCAGGGTCCAGCAGCCACCCTGGTGGTGAGCACCCACTGTGTGCTCGGGGCTGAAGGAGAGTGAGGTGGGAATGCATGAGCGTTAACGGGCAACGTGCTCTGCCGTGTCTCGGCACATCCTGGCTTGGTATTGTTCGCCAGCGTCACCGATTCCCAGTGTGCACATCAGTGGCCCAACGCACCTTGACACTGTTGCACAGCCACTGCCACCCTCATCTCCAGATGGCTGGCTGGCTGCTTGTTACCATCCACCTGTTCCCCTGCGGCATTCACGATCCTTTCCGTCAGTTAGATCATTTTCCTGGCTGCCTCTCTTTACAGACAGGCAGAACAGTGATTTCTCCCACCCCCCATGGGACATTGGGCTATGTCTGGATACGTTTTTGGTTGTCGTGACTGAGGCGGGAGCTTCGCTGCTGGTATCTAGAGGGCAGAGGGCAGGGGTGCTGGCGAGCACCCTCCAGTGCACTTCCCCAGGGAAAGGGTGACCCGCTCCCAAACGAAAATGGCACTAGAGTGGTAGAGCCCTCATTCAGGCCTGTAGAGGAAATGGTCTGGACTGTTTGTTGCCAATAAACACCAAGTTAGAAGCTGAGCTGCGACTCCGTGATTCTAACAGCATGTGGAAGCTGCGTTCCCCACACTACATTGAAATTCAGAGGTTGTCTTTGACTGTTTTATTTCATGCTGCTGTGATGTGGTTCATAATTTGAACTTTCAAATTGTGTTTTTATGGCCTTTTTCTTCCTCTGATTACTTGCATCACCATTCATTCATTATTCATTCATTAAAACAATTATTGAGAAATTATTATATGCCAGAGTCTGGTTATACAGCAGTGACATGGTACAGCTGAACCTCTGGAGTTTTCCGTCTAACTTGTAATGAATGTACAATGTTTATAAATACAGGGTTTAGAATATGAGAAGTTCAAGGCCCATAATCTTTGGAAGTCTGTCGAGAAACATGGGGAGATACTTGACCCTTCCCCACTACACCATCTCTCTACTCCCCAGCCTCACACTTTTTTGGGGGGGAAACCCTCTTGGGGATCTCCCTCTGAGCCCTCCCTGACCTCCCAAAGCAGGCACACTTACCGTGGCGGGGATGGTATGGAGACCCTCTGCTGTGGCCCTCCGCGCCCTTGCAGTCAGGTGGGACCCTGTGGAGGCTTTTGTGCAGGGAGCTGTGGACAGACTCAGGGGAGACTACTTCCAGGAAGAAGCTTGGGGGTGCTGATGGACTTCATTGTCTCTTCACCTGCCTGGCGGACGTGGAGGCAGCGTGCTGGCGTCAGTGACCCGTGGGGCACTGAGATTTCAGGGTTGATGTGTCACTTCCTCATAGTCTGTTTCTTCAGGTCACTGACTATTTTATTCTTCAAGTCACTGCCTGCCTGCTCTGAGCCGACGAGATGGTGGGAGGACCTAAACACCAACCTGTTGCAGAATGAGGCAACAGAACACTGATTCAGTGAATACTTGTGCGTTTTGCACTTGTTTAGGATGTAATATAAAATTCAATGTGTGCTGAGTGAACCCAGAGCCACACACAGGTACACTGGTGAGGTTGCATGGTGTCTAGTTTAGGCCTCCTGTTATCCGGGAGTATCGTTCCCTCCACCTTGTTTTCTCTGCAGGACACCTTCTCTGGTCTCACAGAAGAGGACACCCCTGCATGCATTGGCCTAAGTTACGTGCTCTAGGCAATGAAGTCAGAAGGGCCCTTGGAGAGTGTTGGGGCCAGTCCCGTCGTCCTGCCACAAGGGAACTGTAGTCCAAGAAGGTGCAGGGTGGGCCTCGGGCCTCACAGCGGTGGGGGACAGTGGTTCTCACCTTCAGCTGCACATGAGAAACCCGTGGCAGGCTTTGTAGAAGCCGCAGAGCCCAGGTAGCAGCCAGACTGCTGAAATCAGAGTTTGGGGGTGGGACACAGAATACCTGTTTGTAAGCTCCCCATGGGATTCCAATGACAGGAAAAGGTGAGAGTCACTGCTTGAGCCGAGGACCAGGACTTGGGTAGAGGGTTTAATTCCTGTTGGGCGCCGTTTCCACCAGAGTATATACATGTAGCTCCTCGTGGTCCCCTTGCCATCTGGAAACTGTACTTTTTACCAGCTTACCTTTTCTCTAGATCTTCTGGTTCTGTGGGTGGATGAAGTCGGAGAAAGGAGTTGGCTTTTTAAAAAGCTACCATCTATGCTCATTACTAGCTTCCAGTCTTTGTGTTGGGAGTTGTCATCCAAAGATGTTCCTGTGTTTTCTGGCTGTAGTGCCATGTAATAGGGGCACAAACTGAGGTAAGGGAGAGGTCATAAATTAGACACCCTTTCAACTGATATTTTAAGTATATTTTTTAATCCTCATCCTAGGATATGCTTATTGGTGTTAGAGGGGCTGGGGAGAAAGAGAGATGTGGGAGAGAAACACCAATTGGTTGTCTCCCATATGTGCCCTGACTGGGAATCAAACCCACAACCTTTTGGTGCATGGGGTGAGGCTCCAACCAACTGGCCCACCTGGCCAGGCTCAACTGGTATTTTTTGAGCACCTGCTACGTGTCGTAGACTCACAGACCCGCAGAGTCGAGCGCAGTCTAGACCGGTGCTGTCCCACAGAACATTGCAGCACAAGGCGATGTCCTCCATCTGCATTGTTCAGCGTGGCCCACGTGCGGCCACGGGGCCCTCGAAAGGTGGCTAGTGTGACTGAGCAACCGAAGTTTTCATTGTATTCAGCCTCAGTGGATTCACTTTAAGTAGCCATGCAGGCTACTTCGTTGGGGAGAGCAAGTACAGACCACTCCCTACCCTGTCCCTCCCTCTGAGGTCTCAAGGGTTGTCCAGGCCTGCATGCTAGATGGGCACCGGTGGGAGACCCCCTTCTGTTCCTGGCCCCAAGGGGGAGGCTGAGGTCCATTCCAGGTAGGGGACTGAGAGTTAACTTTGCGATATGTTAACATTCAATCTTTTTTTCACCTCCAAAGGTCCAATTATTTTGTAGTGAAGTCTTTTCTTTTTGCCAGAAAGTTCATGGTCCCTGATCATGGCATGAACACTTAGATTTCAGATAAAACCGTGCTGACTGTAAATGTCGGACACTTGTGGCAGCATTAGAACCACATTCCTGTCAAAGAACAAAGATCCGCTCTCGGTCTCTTGCTCCCCGCTCCCCTCTGGAAGTGTGCGATGTACGTGCACCGAAAGTCTGCCGCGCTGAACGCTGAGCTGGCAGTTCTGCCTCTCTGCTGCTGCTGCTCTGGGCATTTCTGCTCCCTATCAATTTTACGGTAACCAATACCACAAGGTTATTTGTGGACTGTGTTTTTGCAAAATTGCATATGCGTTTCCCTCTGCATGCTTGCGGGGGAGTATTTCGAGGGGAGATTCATCTCACAAAAGATGGAACGCCAGCATTTCTTCTGAGGGGTTTCAAGGCACTGGGCTCAGGTCCCAGCTTTCCAATCTGAACTCTGGACTGGGCTGGGTGACCTCTGCAGCTCTGCCACTGGCTGTTCCCTGTGCTTCCTACCCAGGGGGCGGAGAGCTGCTGGGAGACGCAGAGCAGCCGTGGTTGGAAGGGTGGCGGGGGGCTTCTCCATTGGGGAGTCCTCAGGAGGGCTCTGGCAGGGAGGACTGTTCAGAGTCCCAGGGATACTGCTCGCTCAGCAGGAGGTGAAGGGGGCCATCTACTTTTAACGAAATAAAAATCAACTCTCGTTTCCCCTGGTTTCCCACCTTCTGGAAATTTTGTCTGCTTGAGGTCTGTGATAGTTGCTTACTGGTTTCTTGTATGGAGTAAGTTTGGGATAAATGAGTTTTTCACAGAAAGAAAAGGGCCCTGATCAATATATACCCATAAAGAAAAACTAACCTCAGGGAACTAGAGGTGAAAACCTCACTAACACAGACAACCACTGAAGTTTTGTAGGGCTGTGTTACTCCAGGCAGACTTGAACGTGCAGTTCTAAATAAGTGCCATCATATCATATATTTCCTTCTGTAACATGCCTTTTCTTAGATTCCACGCAGTGCTGTGTGTATCTGCCTGACCATGAATGTCGGTCTGTGTCATGTTGTGTTTTCATACTTATAGCTCTGGCGAGTCAGTATCTTTGCCGGTTTGTAAGACGTCTCCTGAGGCCAGGAATGATTCTATTATTCATGAAAAATTCTGGCCAGTGTTGCCAGCTGCCCTCCGGAAACGGTGAAGCAGTGTGACCCCACGAGCAGTGGACTTGCTGGTCATACGCTCCCTAGTTAGGGGCTTGTTGGTTTTTATACCAGTGCTTATCAGATGGGTAGTATTAGTGCTAATATCCTTTTATTTGCACCATTTTGGTTAATGGCCAAGTTAAATAATTCTTCATATGTTGTTCATTTGTAGTTCTTATTTCATGACTTGGAAAATTTGACAGCAAATTTTCCGTCTGCGCTGGTGCCTTATGGCAACACAGGGATTTTGTTCAGTTTGCCTCTTTTTTTTTTTTTTTTTTTTGAAACATCTTACTCGTTTTCATCACTTACGATCATGTTCGGGTAGCGGTCCTAGACAACAAGGCAGGAACTGAACACAGGCTCCGTGCTTCATAATGGACTCTGCGTGTCTGCTGCTTGCATTTAGGTTCGGGAATACCCCATCGACGTCCAAAGCAACCAGCTGCCCTTCTTGCGGAACCCAGACATCTTGGTGGGAGAGAATGACCTGACTGCCCTCAGCTATCTACACGAGCCTGCCGTTCTGCATAACCTAAAGGTCCGTTTCCTGGAGTCCAACCACATCTACACGTACTGTGGTAAGTGCGGGGCACCTCTTGGCTGCATGTGTTTGAGAGCACTTGCAGTCTTTAGATTGTCCGTGCTAAAGTCCAGTGGTTAAGAATCCTGCTTTCACTGTCATGTATATGACTGCCTCTCATCGGAGACCCTGGAAGGGTTAGCTGGGGGTGAATGTGGCTTCATTAGGCTGCCCACATCGCTGTGTTCGTCGCAGCTCAACCAGGGGAGAAGTGGCCACACTACGTCACTCGACCGGCTGAGACAGGATCCTGGAGTCTTAGGACCCCGGTGTCCTTGCCGGGGCATCTGCTCTCCCCACCCAGCGCACTCCTGTATCTACACCCGGCTTAGTGTTTGTTTTCTGCCTGCGGAAGGGCTGCCTTTTGCTCCGACCCCTCATTTATTCATGTACAAACATGGTGCATGAAGAATATTTGTCAAGTTCATGAGCAGAAACCTTGACAGATGTGTTCAACTAAAAGTCCTGGAATTCTCCTACTTTTTTTCTCTTGAGATGTCTCAATTTCCCGTGTTCTAAATGTTGGCTCCCCTTTGTAGAGTGTTGTTAAGTGGTGTGTGGTAAAAACCAGAACCCCGTCAACTGCTGCTGGAGGGACAGACGTGTCAGGGTCTGGCTGAGCAGTCAGGCCGGGAGCTGTGTGTTCATGGGGCCGCCCTGGTTGTACTTCAGAGCCCTGGCCTTGGCTGTGATCGCCAGTGAGGTCTCAGGGGATGAGGGGTCCTTTCACTGTGATGTCCCATTTTGCTTGGGAACTGGTCAGTGATCCACTAAGTATGAGTGAGCTTTCCTGCCAGATTTCAGGGGTGGTGAATGGCATGTTGATTTCCACGCATGCTAGGTAGTTTTTGCAAAAGCTCCTTCACTCCAGTTGCTGGTGGGGGTTTTAGTTGAAAGAAATCACCAATTACCAGGACCTTCAATAAGTTTTTTTTCTTTTCAACAAGATGTTTTAAAAGCTCCCCTCTTAGGAGAACGTGACAAATGACCACCAGCTTCACTTTTTTAAAAGCGTCCCTTGTCAGAGAGGGCTGGGGGTCTGCACACATCTGTCCACATGTCCCAGCTCTTCAGAGCGGCTCAGGTCGCACAGACTCCAACTCACGGAGAAGTGCTTGTTTCTGCCCCGGAGGGAGTGGAGGCATTTTGGGAAAATGTGCGACCTCACAGGATAATATCAAACCTTGAACTGAATACTACATGAATTAGGGTTTTATGCAACTCGAATAACCAGTGGAGAACGTGACGCTGTTTCTAAGAGGAACTCTCCTAGCCGTTAGCCATGTGAGGTGGAGTTTATCGGAGTCCTGGGCCTTGTTTTTCAGTCCAGGTTGTCTTTTCAGGCAAACTTTTATCTGAAGAGGACTCACTGGGCATCTTTTTCTTCCTCCCTTTGCCCTTTACGTGGAGTAATCTGGTCTGCTTTATTCCCTTTCTCTTTCTCTCATTTCCCCCCCTTTAATAGATTTTACCTGTAAAGCAATTTCAGGTTCACAGCAACACTGCAGAGCTCTCCCATGCCCCGCTCCCCCACCCATGCACAGCCGCCCCCGCTGTCCGCATTCCGCTCAAGAGCGGGACATTGCTGTAGTTGACCAGCCCCCAATGACACGTCCTTGTCACTCAAAGTCCACAGTTTTATTCCAGTTCCCTCTTGGTGGTGTACATTCCACGGGTTGGGACAAGTGCGTAATGACGTGTTGTAACTACCATTGTGGTGTCACAACAGCAGCTTCACCGCCTTGAATGTCATCGGTGCTCTGTCCATTCACCCCTTTCTCCCCATTAACCCCTGGCAACCCCTGATCGTTTACACTGTCTCCATGATCTCGGCTGTTACAGAACGCCATGTGCCTGGAATCACAGTGGGTAGCCTTTCCAGATTGACTTCCTCCACTTAGTATGTGTCTCAGGTTCCTCTGTATCTTTTCATATCTCAATAGCTCATTTCTTTTTAGTGCGGAATAATCCATTACCTGGATGCGCTGCAGTTTATCTGTCTATTGAAGGACTTCTGAGTCGCCTCTAAGTTTTGGTGACCGTGAATAGAGCTGCCGTAAGCATCCATGGGCGGGTTTCTGTGTGGACAGACCTTGGGTAAACACCAAGGAGTGTGCATGCCGCACAGTATGGCGGGAGCGTGTTTCGTTTCGTGAGAAGCTGTCAGAGCGGCCGCACCATTGTGCGTTCCCATCAGTGGTGAGCGAGAGCGGCCGTGGCGCCACGTCCTCACCAGCTTTCGATGCTGCCAGTATTCTGGGTCTCGGGTCTCTACCAGGTGTGCGGTGGCACCTGTCAGTGCTTCGGTCTGCGCTTCCCTGATCGCACACGATGTGGAGCATCTTTTCAGATCCTTATCTGCCATCCGTGTATCTTCTTTGGTGACGTGTCTCCCTTTTGCCCATTTTTTAATTGGTGATTCATATTCTTATTGAGTTTTGAGTTCCTTGGGTGTTTTGAATAATACAGCCCTTTATCAGATGTGGCTTTTGCAGATGTGACTTCTTCCAGTCTGTGGTTTGTCTCTCCTCAGACCCTGAAAGGTAACAACACAGTGGAAGTGGTGTTCCGTTGGCCATGACCTTCCCACTCTTGTCCTCTCTTCCCCACGTGACTGGAAAAGCTCATATTTTTTGAAGCCCTCACGGTAGTTCTCCTGACGCCCGGAATGTGCTCCTGTGTGAAAGGAGAGGGCACGGGTTTCCATCTTGTCTGGAAGATTGAGTCTGTATTTTGTTCTCTTTTTATATTCTCAAATATCGATCTACCTTGCCCTTCCGTGAAAGACCTGAGGATTTACTGATTCTTCAGTCAACATGTGTGTCTCGAGTCCACTGGTGCAGCGTGTCCTTTTAGGGAGACGAGATGAAAACAATGGTGCGGTGAAAGATGGCACAGGTTACATAGTATCATGTGAGACCATCAAGGCTGGCCCGCACTCGGCGCCCGCTGGGTGAGGAGTGGGTCTGCGTGCTCTCTTCTCTCTGCAGTAGCCATTCTGTCCTCGGGACACCCCAGGGAGAGGCAGCGAGCGCTCCTCCCCGTCTCACAGTCCCGTGCGCTGAGGCTCTCCGCTTCAGCAGTTCGCCCGAGCCACCCGCTGAGTGACTGGCTGAGCCAAGATCTAACCTTTGGGTGTGTGAATCCCACTCCCTGTCCACGAGCTGTCTGTATTTTAGTTAAGGTAACCCGTACACAAATGAAAAATGAATAGTCCTTTTACTAGATTTTAATTCTGAGGTGGCTTTTTAAGCCTACCGGCCGTTGGCAGCGTCCAACATCCTCGTCTCCCTGGCCCTGCAGCACTCCGCATGTGTCTGTTGTGTGAACTCGGCTGGCTGGGCAGCTCCGTGTGCATCTGCATGTGTGTGTGTGCAAGCTTGTGTCACGCTCCAGAGTATTTGGAAGCCTCCCAGTCACTCTCTACCCTGTCGAGCACAGTGCCTGGTAAAGACACAGAGACTTAGTCTCGACTTAGCTGAACGGTCGGTTAAGGCCCATGCCATCACCCTCTCATTCTGTAGACGGGTGCATATGGCCCTTCATTAGCTGTCATCGGGGGCCGTGGCGCTACCAGAATCTGACCGCATCGTCTGTTCGCAGGTATTGTGCTTGTTGCCATTAATCCTTACGAACAGTTGCCAATCTACGGGCAAGATGTCATCTACGCCTACAGTGGCCAAAACATGGGGGACATGGACCCCCACATCTTCGCTGTGGCGGAAGAAGCCTACAAGCAGATGGCCAGGTAAGAACCACCTCAGGCCAGAAGTCTTTCTAGGTAGTCGGGGTGAGGGTGGGCTTTGCCGCTTTTGCTCAGCGGTTGGAAGGGCGATTCTGGAGTGGAGGAAGCATCTTCAAAACGAAGCCAGCCAAGGTTCCATTTCTTATCGCGGGCTCCTCCTGCCTTCGGTTTATGCTTGTGAACCCAGGCCCATGCTTGGAGAGCAGCGACCCCTTAGGCTTAGTTCATTGGTTGAGCGATGCAGTGGCTGCCTGGCATCTCGTCTCTTTGACTTCCTTTCGGCCCACTCTCCTCCCCTCCTGGTGTAGTGAGTCCACTTGGTAGCATCCCCATGCGGCTTACGGATCCCCCTGCAGGCTCCCCTTTGAAGGGCCCAGGACTCTTTGGCAGCTTCTTGAGATGCCAAGCATATGAGGCTAAAATGGAAACTTCAAATGGATAGTCACGCACAGTGGTTTTGAGTTTTTCACCTGGAAATGGAGTTTTGTTTAATCACTTCAGTGGATCTCATTTTTTCTGTGTGTCCCCTCCCTCCAGTCTTTGAAGGACAGGTGCCGGTCATTTCCTCAGAAGACGGGCTAGGTGATTGTATTAGGGTTCCATTGGGAAACAGAATCAGCGTGAAACGTACATGTGTGTGCACGCCCGCAGGGGGGTGGGTGGAGGGTTTTCATTCTAAGGAATTGGTTCAAGGCTTGTAGGTGGGCAACCCAGAAAAGAGTTGATGGTGCATTTAGAGTCTGAAGGCAGTCTCCTGGCAGAATCCTGTCTTTGGGAGATGTCAGTTGTTTTGTTTTGTTTTTCCTTCTCATGTGACCTTCAACTGATTGGATGAGGCCCACCCACATTATGGAGGATAATCTGCTTTACTCAGAGTTCACTGATATAAGTGTTAACCTCATCTCAAAAATACCTTCACAGCAGTATCGAGGCTGGTGTTTGACCAAATGTCTGGGTAGCGTGGCTCAGCCAAGTTGACACATAAAATTCACCACCACAGTGTTGGCCTTGGAACTCGTCAGGCATAAGGTAGGGAGGGACAGTTTCACTGAAGTTTCAGTGGAAATGTGCATTCCAGTCAACACTAAAATGCCGTGTACTTTCAGCCAAATCTTTCAGCCTCTTTGGAACATCTGTGGAGCTAGGGGCAGACATAGGACAGTTCTCGGGTGGGGCCTGGGGAGACTGCCTAGGCTAATTTGGGGAGAGGAGTGGTGGGTTCCTGTGACAGGAGAATCCCATCCAAGGTGGTCTGTTTAGCCAGTGGATTTTCAAGTATGATTTCCAGTCCAGTGAAAGTTCCTATGAGGGAAGATTGTTTCATGGGCTTCCTTGCTGATTAGAATGTTTCATTGCTGGCTGTGGAGATCAGTATATAAAAAAATCTGCCCCACTGTAGTTACACAGGGACCGAATTCCAAATCTGCAGTGATCAGAGGACTAAGCAATTTAAGAAACGCAGTGCCCTATAACCATTTTATTTCTCCAGAATGTGGTAAGAGACTGTGGAGCTAAAATGGTTGCAACTCTGGACCCCTGGAATATCATAATCTTACACACCACACCGATGTGCCCTCAGGGCCGGGCTGGGAGCCGCCCAGCTCGGTGTAACCTGTCGATGCACCCCTCCTAACCGAAAGGTTGGCTCAAGGTCAGGTCCTGCGGAGAGAAGGACGGGTTTCAGCGTGCTGTAGCCCACGGCCCGGCTCACGTGTTACTGTTGGAGGTCAAGTGAGTGGCACAGTGGAGGGAGCCCTGGGGTCTGGACAGGCCGCTGTGCCTTGGGAGAGTCACTTAAGCTGAGTCTTCAGTTGCCTCCTGTGAAGATGACTGCCTTCCCTCTGTTACAGGATGGATTTGTATCATTCTGCACCGGCTCTGATGACTCCCCACCATGTGCAGCATTCCAACCGCTCTCTAAGGCTTGTCCTTTTGGGGATGTCATTGATACTTGATTGTTTTTCATCCCACTTTCCTTTCTTAGCCAGGCGTCCTTAGATGCATCAGAAGTTGCTGTTCTTTTACTGATTTACCTTCTTTTTTTTAAAGATTTTATTTATTTACTTTTAGAGAGGGAAGGAAGAGAGAAAGAGAGAGAAGCATCAATGTGCAGTTGCTGGGGGTCATGGCCTGCAACCCAGGCATGTACCCTGACTGGGAATCGAACCTGCGACACTTTGGTTCACAGCCCGCGCTCAATCCACTGAGCCAGGGCTAGAAGTTGCTGTTCTTTATCAAAGACTCCTTGAGGTGCCCCTGTAGCTTTGAAAATCTCCTGGCACCCAGCTTTATTCACATTGTAGGTCTCTGGACTAGAAGGCTCCGTTCTGCCCCTCCGTGCCTGAAGCTGTGCCGTGGTTATTCTGTGCTCGGTTGTTCCACTGGTTCTGGGTCCTCACTCACACCCCTTAGAAGGAAGGGGTGTGGGCGTCCGGGGCGGTGGTGATCCTGTCTTGCATAGGGCAATGCATTGGATGGTTAAGGGGGTCGAACGCTGAAGCTGCACCGGGATTTAACATTAAATCCTTATGGGTTTCCTTTAAGGTTTTAAAGTTTATATTATTTTTACTTTCAGAGTCCTAGGGGTTAGCCAAATCATTTTGCTAAAATTTTTAAGCAGTTTTTGCTCGTGAATGTGCACAGAAGTGTGGAAGTGTAAGACCAGCACGTGTGGCCACGGGAGAGAGCTATTTTTGGCTGTTCCATTGTCAGCAGCTCAGGGTTTCCGTTATTGATCCGAGAGGCACATTAGAGGAGTCTGTGCTCTGCAAAGACAGGAGACACCCACTGGGTGGATGCGGGGAGAGTTTGGGCTGCATTTCCAGCACGGGCCTTCTCCGTCGGTTTGGAGTGTAGAACACATTCATTTGACAACCTCTGCCAGCTGTGCCCTATCTCTTCATGACCTATCAGTAGTTGTTGCAAACACCTGATCCGAGTGGCCATGGCCACGGCCTAGCACCGTGTGTTTACCGCTGGGCAGAATGAAGAGCCATGAGGAACGGAAGTCAGTGACTGCCAACCTTGGGAGGCTGTGACTCAGGTGGCCTCGGACTCAGCAGTTCTTTCTCTTGACTCACTGGGCACTGGCTTTTCTTTGTGGGCGGGGCTCACAGCGGGACTCTCCATCTCTCGATGCTGTGTGTGGGTGGGTGGAGGGGACTCTGTGGAGTCACAAGGGGACAAATGCAGACACTCATCCCCATCCCGAGAGTTCACACAGAATCCTGCTGTGCTGGGGGAAAGGAAGAAAAGGTACAACAAGAGGATTTGTTCCCTCTCCGTGTCCCTGTCGAACTCACCAGGTCTAGACGAGAGTAAATTGAGATGCGCAGTGAAGAAGAATGCCAAAGTGATATGAAACATCAAGTTCACCATTCTGTCCTTTGCATAAGGACCTGTGGTTTCCCGTGAGGAGGGGGACTGACCTCCCTGCCGACATCTTCACTTCTGTTCTTCCTTCCTAGTCTGAGATCCAAATTGCCCCTTCCTTCATTTTTTAAAAAATCCTCACCCAAGCATATGTGTATTGATTTTTAGGGAGGGAGGGAGGGTGGAAGAAGAGTGGCAGTGAGGAGAGAGAAGGAGGCACATCGATCCATCACCGCCCATACACGCACTAGTGGGGATCGAACCCACAACCCAGCTACATGCCCTGACCGGAAATTGAACCCCCAGCCTTTTGGTGTATGGAACGACGCTACAACCAACCGAGCCCCCCAGTCGGGGGGCCCTATCCCTCATTTTTACCTGTCCTAACCTCCCCAGCCTGAGCTCCTACATTAGATCCTATCCATGAATCTTGTGAAGTATCAGTTATTTGATAGGCTCCTTATGTGATGAACACCAAGAAACATAAGACCTCTCTAGTAACTGCAGAAATTGTAAGTAGGTGCCAGGCATGGAGTCATTTGAATTGAGCTTGGAGATGTGACTGCCATACACAGTTTAAGAAAACTGTAGGAGTTAAGCTAGATCTTGGTGAATTGGTAGGAAACGTGGAGTGAGAAGAAGGCATCCAGGTGGGTGGAACGGAGTGGTCACAACCTTAGCAGTGGGATCAGAAGGCACAGTCCCAAAACCACAGTGACATGCTGTTTTATGTTCACTAAGATATCCGTAATTGAAAAGAGAGAACAAGCGCTGGCAAGGATGTGGCAAAATTAGAATCTTCGTACACTGCTAGTGGAAATATAAAATGGTGCAGCTGCTTTGTAAAATAGTCTGGCAGCTCTTCAAAAGGTTAAACATAGAGTTACCACATGGCCCAGCAATTCCACTCTTAAATACATACTCAAGAGAAATGAAAACATATGTTTGGGCCAAAACTTATACACAAATGTTCTTAACAGCATTTTTCCAAAACAGCACAATAGCCAAAAGGTGAAAACAATCTAAATGCCCATCAGCTGTTGAATGGAGAAACAACCTGTAACATATTCCTACAGTGGAACATTACTTGGCTACAAAAAGGAACAAAGTGCAGATACATGCTACCACACGGATGAACCTTGAAAACATGCTCAGTGGGAAAACCAGACACAAAGACCACATACAGGTGTGGGCAAAAGTGCGTTTGCAGTCAAGAGTATGCAAAACAGTTTATTCTGCTAGTATTTATTTGTATCAGCTGCAAACCTCCTTCTGCCCAGTCCTTGTATTGTGTGATTGCGCTGATATATGAAAGGTCCAGAACAAGCAAATCCCTGTGGACAGGAAGTGGGTTTGTGGTTGCTGGGGGCTGGTGGTTTGAGGGGGAAATGGGAAGTGGTTGCTTATGGATGTGTTTTTTTGGGGGAGAAGGGAGGGGATGAGGAAAATGTTACAAAATTAATTGTGATTACTGCACAGCTCTGCAAATGCACTGATGTCCTTTGAGTTGTGTGCTTTAAAACGGGCCACCTGTGTGCTGTTGTGAAAACAAAGGGACATGGTCGGAGAACAGCACCCGGGCAAGGTTAACCTGTGTGGTGAGTGGGTCTGTGGGAGAGCTGGAGACAGGG